GGCTGATCTGTCATTGGAATCATTAAAAATAGCTGTCCCTGTGTAAACAGTAAATGAAATGTACGTACAAATATAGACAAAAATATAAAGTGTAACTTAAAAATACAAATTTTCCTCTTTAAAATACTTTTAAGAAAAAAGCAGGGCCTTGGAAGTGGGTTCTTTCTTCCTCTCCTGTCGCAAATTCACCCAGCAGTTTGGGTTGGGTGAGCGCATGTGTCATCTGTGGGTGGCGCCACCACATGGGCAGCTGGGCAGGTCTCCCTGGAGGTTGACCATGTTCAGATTCTAAGATGGGAGGAAGGAGGATTAAGTGGGTCATGGCAGCCTTTTCTTTTTTTTAACTTTTCCCCTTTTTACTGTCTAGTCATTCTCATCAGTCTTCTGAGTCTTGGTGTCAACATCGTCACCCTCATTATCTTCAGCAGCCCGTCTGCCCACAGCTGCTGCCTCAGCCTCATCTTCCATCTCCATCTTCCTTTGACCCTCCTTCCTCTTCTTCTCCTACCTCATTGTCAGCCTCCTGCTCCCCATTTTCCTCATGAGTGTTCCCATTCGCAGGCACATCTCTTCCACTCTCCTCCTCCACCACCACTTCCTTCTTCGCCTGTAAGTCCTTGGAGATCTCAGGGCTGGTGTCCATGGCTGTGGCCGACATAGTGGGGCACATCAGTGACCCAATTCAGCAGAATAAAAGAAACCAGCATGTGGGGATGTTGTGGTAAAGCTGCCCGAGTTCACGTCAGCAGAGGGGGCGCACAGAGGAGGCGGCTGCAGTGAGTGGTTGGTCAGACCCAGGACAACACAAAGATGGCTTCTCAGAGCAGCCAGTCCAATTGTACCTTCAATTCATGTATTTCATGGAAATTTTCCTTCCTGATTCAAAGATTTAAAAAATGATATACGAAAAAGAGTTCTATGTAGCCAAGGAACAAATCATAACCACCAAGAGAAACCACTCCTAGCAAATTTGTTCAACATCTGGTATCTGTTCAGATTATATACAAACCTCAATTGTTTAGCACAATTCAATAACTCAAGTCATCTGCTAGGAATGGTACATTTCCAGGACCAATTCCAGAGTACAGAAATATCTCCTTGAAGGGAAGTGTAGAGTATCTGCTGAATATTATCTCTAATTCAAGAGCTGTCTCTGGATTTGACCCAGCAAACTTACTGGGTCAAATCAATTACCAATTTGATTATCAAAAGAAAAAGACCCACTGGTCTTTTTTACTGCCAAGAGAGTAAAGGTCCAAATAAAAAATAAAACTACAGACCAGGTATAGGTTTGCTAGACTGCAAAGTACAAATAAGCCCAGCCAGTGTGGCTCAGTGGATTGAGCATTGCCCCATGGACTGAGAGGTTACCAGTTCAATGCCCAGGTTGTGGGCTTGATCCAGTAGGGGGCGTGCGGGAGGCAGTCGATCCCTGTTTATTTCTCACATGGATGTTTCTCTCTCTCTCTCCCTTCCTCTCTCTCTAAAAAAATCAACGGAAACATTTTTTTTTAAGTGCAAAATAAGAGTAAGACCAAAGATCTATGAATGAAGTAATGAACTGAATGTGAGTGAAGCGCTTTAGGGCCATGCCTGCTCTGCTCTGTCAGTGCCCGTGTCTACACCAGTGTTAGCAATTTTGACTACGACTCCTGGAAAGAAACAAAATGCACCAGCTGTATACCCAGCAGGCATCCAATAACTGTTCAACTGACTGACGGATATTCATAAACAATATGGCAAAAAGGCAGTAACAAACTTTCTAAAATTACAAATATGTTTTATTAATTTGAGACAAAGAGTAAGTAGCTACAAAGAGAAGGAACAATATTGCCTTAAAGGACTGACTCATTTGTCACAGTAGATGGGGACTTCCTGAAGGGAGAAGTGAAAATTTAAATATCTGACACCACTGTACAAACAGGGGAGTTATCTTAATAAAATGACTAAGATCATTTAACAAGAATTTGACTTGTGGAAGTATTAATACCACCTTTTTTTTTAATTTTTTTTTTTCCTTTATTGATTTTAGAGAGAGAGGAAGTGAGAGGGAGAGAGAAATAGAAATATTGATGAGAGAGAACATCGGCTGGCCGCCTCCTGCATGCCCCCCACTGGGGATCGGGCCGCAACCTGGGCATGTGCCCTGACCAGGAATTGAACCAGTGACCTCTTGGTGCATGGGTCAACACTCAACCACTGAGCCACACCATCTGGACAATCTTACCACCTTTTAAAATTAATATTAATATCCCCTGCTTCCAAATCTACTTTTTAGATTTAAATTGTATTTCTTTTAGGTGATTCCAATTTTATTTTGATTACTTAATCCATTTGCTAGTTACAAAGTCAAAAATAACATACTCTTGTCTTAATTTTGATTCAAAAAAACTAGAGACAACATAAAGAACTGTTACAATCTAATAATAAAAAGACAAATAATCCAATTTAAAATGGGCAAAAGAGATCTAAACAGACATTTCTCCAAAGATATTCAAATGACACTTAACTACATGAAAAGATGCTCAACATCAAAAGCCATCGGCAAATGCAAATCAAAACTATTATGAGATACCAGGTCACATCTACTAGGATGGCTATAATGAAAAATAAGATGGGAAAATAACAAGTGTTGGTAAGGATGTGGAGAAACGGGAACCGTCATACACTGCCAATAGGAATGTAACTAGTATAGCTGACTTGGAAAACAGTCTGACAGTTCCTCAAATGGGTGAGCAAAGAGTTAATATGTAATCCAGCAATTCCTCTCCTGGGTATACACCCTAAAAAAAATAAAAATGTATGTTTACACAAAATCCTGTACATCAATGCTCATAGCAGCACTGTCTTAACAGCCAAAAGTGTGGAAAAAAACAAAACACAATTGTCCATCAACTGATAATTGGATAAATAAAATGTGGTATATCCATACATAGGAATTTTATTAAGCAATAAAAAGAAATGTAATCTTGATAACTGTTTGGTGGCCCTTGAAAATCAGGTGAAAGAGGTTAGTCCTAAAGTAACACGTGTTGGATAATTCCACTTCCATGAAATGCCCAAAGAGACAGAAAGGAGACTGGTGATTGCCTAGGGCTGGGCAGGCCGGGAAGACTGAGGGGTAACAGTTAAAGGATGTAGAGACTCTATCTGGGGTATTGAAAATGTTTTAATGCAGTGTGGTAATAGATGCATCGCTCTGTGAATATACTAAATGCTACTGAATTGTGCACTTTAAACAGTGTGTGGTATGAGAGTCAGCTTTAAAAAAAAAAAAAAAAAACTGTTTAAAAAACAAACCAACAACGAAAAACTAGAGACGAGCTTGAGCCACACCATCACCACTGTTCTCATTTCTGTACCCTCTGCCTAACTGTCTCTTCCACCCATCTGCCCTAGAAAACTCATCCTCAGCATTCTCATCCAGGTTACATGTCACCTCCCCTAGGAAGCCTCTCTACCGCAGTTCTTCAGAAAGAGTAAGACACTACTTCTTCCCCTGTGCTTCCAGGCGAGCTTGTGGCACATCCTGGCAAAGATTCATAATATGTCCCACCCTTAACAGGAGTCCCTAAATGAACTCCCCATCTGTAAATCTCCAGAGACGAGCTCAGGACTTTAAAAAGAATATGCTCTTTATATGGATGGGTGAATGAACGGCTGGATGGACAGACAGATGGGTGGACAGGCAGATGGGGGGAGGGGAGGGGAGGGGAGGGGAGGGGAGGGGAGGGGAGGGGAGGGGAGGGGAGGGGAGGGGAGGGGAGGGGAGGGGAGGGGAGGGGAGGGGAGGGGAGGGGAGGGGAGGGGAGGGGAAGAAGAACAAGCATGAGTAAACAGAAAAACCAAGACCAGGGCTGCAGAAGGGCATGTTGATGAATAAACATGGAGACAAAATGAGGAGGCAAGCAGATTAGTTCTTGTGAGCAACCAAAGTTAACACCAGATAAATGCTTTCAGCAGAAGCTGGGGTCAAACCCTGATGAAGAATCTGACATTTCTTCCAGGGGATTTTCTTGTTTCTAACAAGAATAAAGACAGCAGCAACCTTTAATTTTATGGAATACTGAGCACCGACTTTTTAAAAATGTACTTACAAAAATATCATGGAAAAATGCCTTTCCATTTAACAGAGATTATGTAATTTATACATATAGTTATAATTATAGAAAAGTAAAAGAAAGAAACAAAACCCTGTGCATTAAAAATAGGCTAGAAGGAAATGTACTGAAATGTTAACAGTAGCTATATTTAGGTATTGGCACTCATGTTCTAGAGATCAGGTCTTTCTAGATTCCAGAGGCTTCCGACATGAGTCGGGGCCTGTCAAGGCATTCTTCCCCAAGCCTGGTCCCTACCATCCGGAGGTTCTTCCTGGCCTCTGGAGACATGTTCTGTCTCATCTGACTGGCTATATGAGAGCCGGCTTAGGCCCCAAGCATCTTCTTCATCCAGTTATTCAACAGAGGCCCAGGCTTGGACCTGGCAAGCCAAGGTTGTAACACTGGCCTTGAAGATGGTTATTTCGATGGATCAGAGATTAGGTAACAAGGGCCAGAGGTAAGCTGTTAATTATGGGGAAACAAAGGCTCAAGTGGAAAGGAGACTTCTGCAAAAAAACAAAAGAACTTAGTAACTGACTACATATGGAAAATGACAGCAGGAAGAATTAAAGGTTTCTAACCTAGAAATAAATTCAAAGAGTGACACCGGTGACATAAATGGAAGCACTGGGGAAGAGCAGGTCAAGGGAGGAAATTGTAGCTTCAGCAGAGCTGTGTTCACTTCAAGCTGCCTGTCCGTGATGGATGCAAGCAGAACCATGTAAGTGCATGAAAGAATGCCCAGAAGGTCAATGGTGCTGATGTCACCAAAGATGACAGACAACAGGCGCTGGGGTGAGGACTACTGTGTACTGGGGATAAAAGTCACCAGGAAGATGAAAATATGTCACAGAGTTACAAAGTGCGGCGGGACTTCGAAGAGGAGTGTGTGCCCACCTGAGTCATGGTGCCGACACAGTGGACTGGAAGTAGTAGTGAAAAGCAAAAACGATGCTGACCTCTTCCCTGCCTTGTGAATCAGAGGGAATTCGCCTAGAAGTCACAAGTACAATTAAAATGCTTGACTAAATGTCCTATAGATTTCAGTTTGACTATACAATAAAGTAGAACCAATAACATTTGCATAACATTTCACACTTACAAAGCATTTTCAAATACATTATCTCATCTGAGCTCCCCATGAGCTACATGAGGTGAGTATGTACATCTCATGGATGAGGACACATGCAGAGTCGTCAGAACTGGAAAGCAGAAGGCAGGGCCAGGGTGGTCCTCGGCTCTAGAGGCTGGGCTGGAGCACTCTGACTGCACTCCCAATGTCCCTTGGGGTCACGTGCTGTGATGTGGGCTGTCCTTACAGCGTACACAGAGACTATTTCTTTCACGATGCCCAAAACAACTAAGTCTGTACATTTATTCATAGCTTCTAGTCATCTGTTTTTCTCTCAATGAACTAAATTTTATGTTGAGAATGTTATAAATTCTATCTAACTGTTCCTCATAAAAAGAGCTATGAAGTAGAAAGAAGAGCCTGGCCGGTGTGGCTCAGTGGTTGAGCACTGACCCACACTCCAAGAGGTCGCAGGTTCAATTCCCAGTCAGGGCACATGCCCAGGTTGTGGGCCCGATCCCCAATAGGGGACATGCAGGAGACGGTCAATCAATGTTCTCTCTCATCGATGTTTCTCTCTCTCTTTCCATCTCCCTTCCTCTGACTCTAAAATCAATTAAAAAAAATTTTTTTTTAAGTAGAAGGAAGAGCCCTGGCCGGTTTGGCTCAGCGGTCAGAGTGTCAGCCCGTGGACCAATGCGTCCCGGGACCGATTCCGGTCAAGGACACGTACTTTGGTTGCAATTCATCCCCAGCCCTGGTTGGGGTTGTGTGGGAGGCAGCCACTCGATGTGCCATTTTCACATAGATGTTTCTCTCTCTCTCTCTCTCTCTCCCCTCCCTCCCACTCTATCTAAACAAAAATGGAAAATGTCCTCAGGTGAGGATAAAAAAAAAAAGTAGAAAGAAGAGGTGAGATAGCAAAGAGTAGGAGTGAAGAAGAATATGTCAACCAAGAGGAGACTGGATTCCCCATACCCTTCCAACCTTCTATACCATTTCAGTATAGAGCCAGGTGGGGCAGCCCCACGCTGTGGGATGCTGGGTAGCAGTCTAAGGAGAGCCCATCAGAGGGCAGAGGGTGTCAGAGCATGAGCAGGTGAGGAAGGCATCTGTACGGGAGGGTGGCTCAGCATGGGTATCAGAGCTCAAGAAGTAAAGAGGGTTGGAGTGACCAAGAGGAGAGCATCAGGGTCTGAGCAGAATGAGAGCATCCACAGAGGCAGGCAGCCAGCTCAGGATCTCAGAGTCTGAGAAAGCAAGGCCATCCCTGCAGGGGCAGCTGAGCATGGGGTAGCCGAGCGGGAGCACAGTGAGACGGGCATGCGCACCAAAGGGCAGCCTGGCTTGCAGTGTCCTAGTCCAAGGGAGGTGAGCAAGGCACCCCCACAGGACAGGTGGTGGCAGCTGCCTGATGTCTGTTGTCAGCGCATAAATGGGGTGATGAAAGTGCACACAGGAAGACAGCCCTGTGCAGTTTTAGGAGAGCATGCCCACAAGGTGCTGAGTCCTGAAGGGGTGAGGAGGGCATCTTTGCAGAGAGGCAGAAGGTGTCAAGAGATGTGAAAGTCAGAAGAGGAACAGGAAATTTACACAGCCTCAGAGAACCGTCTCACAAAATACATATTAACTACACTGGGGGAAATAACTACTTTACAGTGAGAAACTCGGCAGACATCACCTTAATCAGCGGATTAAAGTTAACATCACCAATAATGGGACACATCAAAGTCAGGTGCCACTTGAGAGGACGCACTGAGAGGAAAAAGCATCACTTCTGAAAGCGTTCCTACCAAGGATACATTAACTTGAACCTACTCAAATAAAACATCAGACAAACGCAAATCATGGGACAATCATTCAAATAACTGGCATGCACTCCTCAAAAGTGTCAAAGATTAAAAAAGCAAGGAAGGGGAGAGAAACTAGTCCAGATTAAAAGTCTTGAAGAGACATGACAACTCAGTGCAAAATGTGACCCCCAAATGGATCCCCTCTGCTATAAAGGACATTATGGAAATAACATAACAGAGGTCTGAGGATTAGGTGGGAGCGATGCCTGTGTTAATTCCCTGGTTTTGAAGCCCCTGCTGTAGTTTTTTAGGAAAACAGTTTCATCGGAAACAGACACTAAAGTATGTGGGATGATGAGGCACCAAGTGAGCAGCTTACTATCAAATGGCCAAGAAAAAGACATTTTCTGTACTGCTCTAGAAACTTTTTTGTTAACACTATTTTTATCTTCTTTTTTATAAGTTTTGAGGAGACTGAAGAGGCAGGCTGCTTGGCAATAGAAGAATATATAGCCACCACAAAAACCTACAAAAAAACTTAAAAGCACTATGAAATGTGGAACATGACTCTATCCACATGGAGGTATTTTTTTCCCTAATAGGAAATTAAAGGTCAGTTTTATGGGAACAATGTCGGTGGCAGGACCAATAAAGATAATGACAAAGTGAGGCTTTTTTAAATGTTTATATCAAAGGAACATTTATTTTAAAAGCCAAAGAGAAGTCTGGCCAGTATGGCTCAGTAGTTGAGCATCGATCCATGCACTAAGAGGTCAAGGGTTAGATTCCCAGTCAGGGCACATGCCCAGGTTGTAGGCCCGATCCCCAATGGGGGGCATGCAGGAGGCAGCCAGTCGATGTTCTCTCTCACATTGATGTTTCTCTCCCCCCCCCCCGCCCCCGCCGCCCCCCGGCTCTATCTGAAGATAAATGCAAAAATGTCCTTGGGTGAGGATAAAAATAAAAAATTAAAAAAATAATAAAAAACCAATAAAGAAAGTAAATAAATAATTAAAAGCCAAAGAGAAGAAAAGAATATTCACATGTAATTATATCCATAAATCCTTCCCTACATATGGAGAAATAAGTGATGTTGATTGACAGCCAGGTAATGTGCTTGGTACTTAAGTACTTACTATGTGTTAGATGACATTCAGACTTTAGCATTGTATTATTCACACACTTTCTTAATTCCAACTAAAAAAAAATAGTCCAGATTCCCTTGCAGTATTTTTAAATATCTGTAATGTATCCAATGCCCATTCATGAGAAAAAATAAAATAACTCAGAAAACTAGGAATAGATGGTATTTTCCTCTATGAAGAGGAAACATAAAGAGCATCTGCCAAACATCCTATAACTAACATCATGCTTAACAGTGAAAGCCTGAGCTCCTTTCCCCTTAAGACCAGGAACCAGGGAAAGATGTCCAATCTCACCTGTCATATTCGACATAGTACACAGGAACGTCTAGACAGCATTAAGAAGGAGGAAAAGGAAATAAAATACATACAAAGTAGAAAGAAAGAAAGAAGTGTCCTTTTTTGCAGATAACATGATTATATATGTAGAAAAGTCCTACAACTTGTAAGTTCTGCAAGGTCACAGCATCTAAAATCAACAAACAAAAATCAATTATATTTGTGTATACTAACAACTAATAAGAAAAACTGAAATTAAAAAATCAACACCACTGCCCTGGCCAAGTGGCTCAGTTGGAACATCGTCCCATACACCAAAATGTGGCAGGTTCGATTCCCTATCAGGGCACACACCTACACTGAGGGTTCAATCCCCAGTGGGGGTGCATACGGGAGGCAACCAATTGATGTTTCTCTCTCACATCGATGTTTCTTTCTCTCTCTCCCTTCCTCTCTCTAAAATTGATTTTTTAAAAAATTAATACCCCTAACAATTGTTCCAAAGAAAATTAAATACTTAAGAATAAATCTAACAAAATATGTATGCTGAAAATTATAAAATTTTGTTGAAAGACATTAAAGATCAAATAATTGGAGAGACTTACTATGTTCATGAATTGGAAGACTCACCGTAGTAAACATGTCAATTCTCCCCAACTTGATCTATAAATTTAACACAATTCCTATCAACATCCCAGCATGGTTTTTGGTAGATAAACTTATTCTAAAATTTATATGGAAAGTAAAGTCCCTAAAATAGCCAAAACGATTTTGAAATGGAAGAATAAAGTGGAAGGAATCAGTCTACCTGATTTTAAGACTTCTTTTATAGCTACAGTAATCAAGACGATGATGAAAGGAGATCCTCCCAGGAGCATGCACAAGGACAGTGGCTCAGTTAACAAAGGAATTTAATCTACTGCCAGAACAGGAAGCCTTTCATATTCACGTCCTCCCGAGTTTGGTATATTTGTAGACCGGTGGATATTTTGAGTTTCTAATTCTCCCCTTTTCCAAGTGAGAGGGTTTACTGTCGTTATCGTGTTCCTTTATCCATTGTAGTTTTCTGAGTGTACTGGGAGCACAGGTTTTCTCTTTTGGCTTTACATCACCAGAGAACAACAAGCTACAACCAGACCTGATGGAGAAAAGTATACATCAAGGAGACATCCTGGAGTCTGAGATAGATGTAGTCATGGATGAGAGCAGGTATTGTCTCCCTCGAGCAGTGAGGATTATATTCCCTGTAAAATGTATCCATAAGAAGGATATATCTGGATTTTGGCTAGCCAGAGAGGTAGATTTGGTAGACATTGTTGGTTATCAAACCCAACACCTATTTCTAAACTCCTTCTCCCTTCCCCCATCTCTACCAATAGCTAAACAACACGTTCACAGCCTTCCTTCTAGTTAGGAGTGGCCATGTGAAACAATTTTGGCCACGACAATTAGGGGGAACTCTGCTGTGCCACAAGGCTTCCAGGAGGGTTTTCAGTTTACTGGTAAAACAGATGTTCCAGGAAGGCTTCTGGTTTCCTGGTAAAATGAAACGAGATGCTGCTGTCGATCCATGCCCTTCGTGAAGCCTCAAACAGAAAGGTGAGGTGATGCCTTAGAGCAGAAGAACCCTCTTGCATACATAAAGGCCAAGAAAATTCAGAACAATAGTCCTAACATTACTGAGCTGCTAAGCCAGTCAGCAGACAC